TTCATGGCGGCGATTGCGAGGAGAATGCGTAGTGAGGTGTGGCGGCTAACCGGAGCGAAAGTTTCGGTGAAGTCGCGTCCGTGTTCTTGGTCGAAGCCGCGTACAACCCAGCGAGCTTTAAATTTGTCAATGGTGCCGTCAGCCTTTGTCTTCACACGGAAGACCCACTTCCCGGTGAGCACTTTCTTGTTCCGTGCCACGCCGATAGGAACCACTTTCCACGTGTTGCGTTCCTCCAGTGCCTTCAGCTCCTTGTCCATGGATTCGCGCCATTTTTCCTTATGCTCCCCCCCCAGAGCCTGTTGAACCGTCGCAGGCTCTTTAGGAATGGCGGTGCCGTGGACTGCGGTGACGAGTCCGAGAATTTGCAGTCCACTCTGTGAGCAGCGGGGAAGATTTGCGTCCTCGGGATAAGCTGCTTCATCTCCCGCTTCTGGGTCAAGTATGAAGTTGGGTCCTACTCGTTCTGCTTCGTTGGTGTTGAGTGTCGCAGGTGTTACGTAACCGTTGTCGGCGAAATAGTAGAAGGTTTCGGCGTTGACACTTTCGCGAGGGTTATCTTCGTCCATGGGAACGTCGACGGAGCAGAACGGAAGAGGTCTGGCTTCTTCTGATGCGTTGTCCACATTCTGCTCGTCCCAGTCAGCTTCGTCCGCTGCTGGGGCGAAGGCTCGGTCACCGCGAAAACCACCTGTGGGATCCTGGTCTTCTTGCAGGTTGGCAAGGTATGTCTGGAGCGTGAGTCGTTCGTAGAAAATTACATCACGTGCTGCTACTGTTTCCTTGGAATGGACGTCGAAGATTTTCCACGCGTTGTAGTTTGTTTCGGTTCCCAGGTGTAGTCCCCACTGTGCTCGTTGAGAAAATCGGCCCGCTCGTGCTGCTGGGGGTCGGTACTGTACCATGCATCCGAATACTCGTAACATTTTTGTGCTGCCCTGTTTCCCTGTCCATAGCAGATGCGGTGATGCGTTGTTTGGAAGCGATGATGACGAGAGCAAGTTGTGCAGCATGACGGCGTGGTCCATTGCCGCAGGCCACTGGTGGTTGGGTAGCCTCATGCCACGTAACAGTTTGCGCATGCTGTTCTGCAAGGTCCTGTTCATTCTTTCTGCTACACCTTGCTGCTGATGGGCGTAGGGAAGGGAGATGAGCCGCTTGATTCCCCTTTCCGCCAGGTACTGCTCGAATCGCTGAGAGGTGTATTCTCCTCCTCCGTCTGACTAGAAGCTTTTCAGTTTCACGCCCGATTCTCTCTCTGCTACTGGTAGCCAGGCAACGAAGGCTGCGAATGCCATGTCGCGGCTAAGGAGGTTTAGGTGCCAGACATAACGGGTGGCGGCGTCGATGAAGGTGATTGTATAGTTGTATATTACTTGTCCTGGTTCCCGATTGTACAGGATGTCGCTATACACCTTCTCGAGTGGTGCGTATGCGGGTGCGCTCGGGTTGTGATGAGACGCAAACTGTCGATGTGGTAAGTCACCTTCAGGGCAGGTGAAGCACGTTCCGCGTACTCGTTGAAGTTCTCGTCCGTCGGTCAGTAGGAGTGAGTCCTTGTCGAGTACTCCTGCTCTTATCGTATTGTTTAATACTGTGTTGCTTGGGTGTCCCATCCTTGCGTGCCAGGTGCTTTCGTCCGCGCGATGTCCGGGTGATCGTCGGTACATATCGGAGTTGGAGTAGAAGTTGGCGGTGAAGTTGGTGCTACAATGAACTTCTCCTGGTGCTGGGTGTAGTTGTTGCGCGGGTGTCGGTGGTGTGTCGTCGATGAGGAGCGGTGTCGTTGAAGGACCAGCAATTGGTGTTGACGTTCCTGCTGCTGCCGTTGATGGTTCTGCTACTGCCGATGTTGTCTCTGCTGCTGCCGATGTTGTCTCTGCTGCTGCCGACGTTGTCTCTGCGGCTGCCGATGTTGTCTCTGCTGCTGCTGATGTTGTCTGAATTGTTGCTAACGCCCTTGTTCTTTCTGCTTCAGGGATGGTGTGTGAATACCAGAAGCCTTCTGGACTGAAGTCTGGATCAAGGTCTGGAGGGTGTGTCCAGTTGGTGAAGTTAACGATGGCGTCGCTGTCGGCGGTGCCAAGATCAGGAACGAAATCAAGAACGAAGACAACGTTCTTGAGGACCGCCTTGCCGATGTAAAGTCCTCCTCTCCCGTGATACAGCTTGAATTCTTGGGTGGTGCTGTGTGCTTCGAGGTGAATCCCTTTCGCCATTAGCTGACTGGCGCTCAGTAAGTTTTAGCCGAGTCCCTCCGCGATTAGTACTTTTGACATCTGCAGTATAACGTTTGTTTCCCTTGACTGAAGTTGAACTACGCCTTGTCGTCGTGTTCGCAGGTTCTGATTGTTGGCGACTGTAATGACAACTTCGCGTTGAAGTTGGTGTTCTCGTTGAACGAAGCGTCCCGAGGAGCACATGTGCTGTCCGCAGCAACTGTCCAAGAACCATGTGTCCTTTCCGGATGGTTCGCTTTGGGCGATGGCGGCGTATGTCGGGTTCGGCTGAAGTGACTCGCGGCGGGGTGTGGTTTCGTCGAGTTGTTATTCCGGTGAGTAGTGTGGTGGTGACTCGGTGATGCAGGAGTCACTCAGCTTTGCCATGCAGCTGACGATGTTTCTTGCTCCTTGTGCAGGTTGTCCCGTTGAAGTCGTTGAGGCATGAATCTGGGTCGTGGGATTTGCTTGCGTTGAGGCGATTTGGCTGCTTGAAGGTCAAAGTTGCCGCTGCAGAGTTGTTGACTGTTGACGATTTGGGCAGTGCGTACGCGGGTGTCCTGAAGTTTTGCAGATGTGGCAGAACGGAGGTACTGGCTTCGGTTGTTGCTGCCGGTTGTTGTTGTTGTTGTAGCGTCGCTGAGTGTGGAACGCGAATTCTGGTGCTGATGTCTTCTTTTTGTGTCGTTCTTCTTGCAGATCCATGTCTTGCTGCTCGGCGTGGATTTCGGCGCAGAGCGCTGCTTCAAAGATTCTTCCATGAGCTCGGAGAATGGCCTTTGTGGCGCGCCATTGAGGACCGAGGCCGCCGATGATGACTGTCACGAAGGCGTCTTTAGAGATCGACCCTCCTCATCGAAGAAGCTTGTCGCGCAACTCGCGACATCGACTGATATACGCCATTCCTTTCTCCCCTGGTTTCATTTCAACCGTTGTCAGTTGCGCCATTAACCGACTTTGGCTTACGCTGTTTGTTGCTTGATACAGGCTCTTCAGGTGGTTGTATGCGAGCTCAAAGGAGTTGTCGTAACCTCGGTAAGACCTTATGTTCTGCTGTTGAGTCGGGGTGATATTCCTCAGTAGGATCGTGTACGCCATCATTGACTGATAGGTGTATTGCTGCTTCTCGTACTGTGTGCCGTTTGTTGGGTATGGCAGAGACCCGTCGAAGAACCCGAGTATCTGCGCACCTTCCATCATCAGCTCGAACTCGAACGACCAGGTGAAGAAGTCCTTTCCATCGAAGGTTCTGTCAGAAGTCCACTGGTGATCCCTGATTGATCCTAGGGAAGGGTTACAGGCACGTTGGCCTGGGGGGTTATGGGCGCACTGACCCGCAACTTAACAAGCCCTTTTATCCCAATGGTCTAGTGGTTGGGATTCTGATATGGTATCAGAGCGAAGGTCTCGGGTTCGAATCCCGGTGTATGCATTTCGGGCATCCCAGTGCGGGGGGGTGTCAGAAGTCCACTGGTGATCCCCGATTGATCCTAGGGAAGGGTTACAGGCACGTTGGCCTGGGGGGTTATGGGCGCACTGACCCGCTACTTAACAAGCCCTTTTATCCCAATGGTCTAGTGGTTGGGATTCTGATAGGTTCTTCAGAACGTCTGCATCTTCAGAACGTGTGCGAACTGCGACTGAACTTGTAATGCGTCCAGTGATTTTTCTTGTCCAGGTGAGGGCTGTGGGTGTGGCATGAAGCTGATGGACCCGCGCTCGTACGGAGCAAAGGTAGGCTGCTGTTGTTGATTTCCTCGTGCATATGATGAGCCGTCGAGACTCATGGGTGTTGCTCCGTTGTTGTTGCTGTTGTGTGACTGCGCAGGTGCCGATTGCTGGTGTTGCTCGTAGAAGGACATGAAGGATAAAAACTTCTCCATCATGCTCTGGGCGAAGTCTGCAGGTTGATTCGCGGGAGTCTCGGTAGATGTTGCTCTGGGTCTGGTTGCTGTGCCCTCCTCTGTCTGTAGGCCAAAGGCAGGAGGTGGAGTAGGAGTAGTGCCCTGGGAGCCGTTGGAGTTGCTCCTTTCCTTTTGTGTAGCCATGCTTGTTGATGTTGTCGGTATAGAAGTTGAATTCCCCCTGATAGCTCTCATACCATGTTGGGCTGAAAAACTTTTAGGATCTTTGCAGGGGTGAACTCTGGGTAGAGTTGGTGTAGTAGCGGAAGCGTTAATTAAAGAGTTGTGAACCACCTTGCGCTAGTATGTGAGGGCAAAGTAAGTTGCTTAAAACAAAGAGATGCAAGCTTTTATAAGAGTACAAGGAATACGAAGAGATACAGTTAATAACCGTTTTACTATTGCTGTTGCGGTTCGATACAGTGACGACTCGGGCAACTGCTCAATACCGAGTTAGTTGTTTGTCCTTGCTGTCGCGCTGTACTTTGTCAGGTCAAAGGTCGCTGACCTTTGACTTTCGCGTAACTTCCAACAGTTACTTTCAACCTCCGAGGGTTGACTCGCCGGTGATTCGTTATACTTTGTTTCTTTTGTGTCTTAGTGTTTCGACACGACAGAGGCGCTTAGGACCGATTGTTTCCAACAGTTGGAACAAGCAGATGGTCTGTTTTTTACAGTAGGCGTATTGAACTTAATGTGGTGGCAAGTGGATAGAATCTCTGCATCGACAGTTGTAGCTGGTTGGTGGAAGTGGAAGGTGTTCTCCATGGTATGGTATGGTGCCAGGGCAGGGTACCGTATACTTCTGAGACGCCTAAAAAACATACCTACTGGTAACGAAGCGGCAGGTGAATACAGTAGGTAAAAGCATATCGCATTAATAGTATTGGGAGGCCTCTGTCCACACAAGCGCAGGGTTGGCCACTTTATCCATGGTCAGGTCAACATGCTGGTCCCCGGGCAGAAAAACATATTCACACGGCACTTTATCCTCCACATACCCTTGTACCACCGCCACTCCTTGCACCACATTATATGGAAACGGCTTCGGCGCGCGCGGGTGGTTGGCGAGTTTTGTCCCGGTTAGGAAATTAGTCACTCCGGTTTCTAAAGACGGCATGGTCGCTCCCATGCAAGACGCGCTGATCCCAAGGGGTTGACCCAGAACCCCCCCTACAGTCACATGCTTCACATTGAACCGCTTCCGGAGATTATGCGTGAATATAGCGCAGGCTGAGAAGCAGTTCCCGTTTGTGACTATAACGAGCGGCCGGGCCCCAAACACCGGGCCCCGAAACGGGACCTTCTCAAGCCCGGGGAACGCGGCGAGCTTGAACAAGCCCGAGTACACTCCGGTCTCCCCATCCGGGGAAAACGTTTCCTCCAGAAACGGCTTGAAATCCCGCACGCTTTTCACCGGCGTGGCCTCGTCAACCTTCACGTACTTATCCCACTGGTAGAACGAGGTGAGCTGCTTGTCCAGTAATGAGAGCATGAATGCATTGGATATGAGCAGCTGCTGTGGCATCTGCACGCGCCCCTTGGGGGCCTTTTGCTTGCCGGCCACGAGGCGCAGCAGGAGGTATGCTATGTCGGCGTAGCCCCCGCCGTTGCCACTCACGTCCATTATGATTCGCTTGCCGTGCCTTGGAAAGGGTGAGTGGGGCCAGGGAGGGAACACGAGGAGGGAATGAGGAGGCAGAAGGAGAAGAAAAGGAAAGGGACAGATGAGGTGAGGTGGACGGCGCCAGGAGGAAGGTCCGGGGAGGAAATGCGGCCCGTGGGGTAATGGGGCAGGGGCGACAACGACTGCTGCCACTCACTCTCAGGAGTTCTGTCCTGCTGTGTCTGGGAAAGGGGATGGGAGTTGTGGGGGGAGTCACAGTGGGGAGTGGGGGAGGGAGGGGGATGGAACCAGTGGAATGGGGTGAACGAGCACTGGGGCGGACGCTGGGGAAGAGAGTTCTGGACTCACTGGTTGGCGAGATCAACGGCTGTGGAGATCTCGGTGAGCAGGAAGGCGATGAGGGCTTCATCTGAGCCGTCCATTGCTGGCAGGAAGGTGTGCAGCCAGATGACTGCCGTGGCGTTGTCTGCTAGCAGGTAGACCTGGGGAAGGGGGGAGGTAGGGGAGGCGGAAGAGAGGGAGAGGAAGTGAGAAAGAAGGTGAGAAGGAGCGCGGAGCATGTTGTTTGCGGCGCCGGATGTTGGTGAGAGCAAGTGGAGAGATGGCAGGTGTGCGCCAGATGACTGCTGTGGCGTTCTCTGCTCGTAGGTAGACCTGGGGGAGGGGAGCGGGGAGGGGAGGGGAGGGTGAACGGAGGAAGAGAGGGAGAAGAGCACGAGCAGACCTTAGGAGGGGGACGAGGGAAGAAGCAGCGGGGTGCATGTGGAAGAGATGGAGTGGCATGGCATGGCAGGCACCACATTACGCTGCATGCTACCACGTGTATCAAAGCACACGGCACCCACGGGAATCAGCGCTGTTGCTGTGGACAGTTTCTGCGCTCCCGCCAGGTCATTCGGCGCTGGCGCTGACGAGGCACGCCCGTTGCTGCCAGCAGCAGCACTACTAGCAGCATCAGCAGGGGCAGCAGATTCAGCAGACTCAGCAGCAGCAGCCGCTGCTTGGTATTGGGACCGGAACAGCAGGGGGGCGGCAGGAGATGGGGGAGGGGGGCGGAGCAGGGAGGGGCAGGCGTCGAGGTCGGGCCTTGGGAACTCCACAGCCAGAGTCGGCCACCCAGACGCTCTCTCCGCGCTGCTGTCGCCCATCCCTGCCCGACTGCTGCCCCATACCCCTGCTCCTACTGTGCGCTCTGCTCCCTTCTCTGTGCCTTCTGTCCCGCCCGTGCTCTCTGCATTCTCTGCACTCCCTACACTCTCAGCTCCGTTCCCTGTCAATGTGCTCTCCGCTCCCTCGGTGCTTTCTGCTGCGGCCTCTGCTACCCATGCCCCCACGCCACAAGCTCTCTTCTTCAGCCTCTCACTCAGCAGAGGCCCAGGTCTCCTCACCCTCCCCTCCCCTCGTTCTTCTCCTCTCCCATCTCCCCGTTCCCTCTCCCCCCACCGCTCCCTCTCCCACTCCTTCGCCGCGTCCCCAGCACCTTCCCCCCTCCCCCCATCCGCATCCAGAGCCCAATCTGTCCCCCTTGCCCTACTGCGCGCCCCCAGATCAACCCCAGCTGCCCCTATTCCCCTGCTTCCCTCAGCAGCAGCAGCAGCAGCGGCAGAAGCAGCAGCAGGGGCAGAAGCAGCAGCGGCAGAGGCGGTGGGCTGGCGAGGGGTGGCGCAGTTTGCCGCCCAGTAGGAGGTGGCGGAGTCGAAATTGGTCGGCAGCACTGCCACCCACGGCACCGTTACTAGTACTGGTGTGGCACTCGTGCTGTGATGTCACGGTGATGGGGAGGAAGGGGGGGAGGAAGCAGGAGGGAGGGAGAGGGAGAGTGGGAGTACATGGTACCCCATGCCCCATACGCCCCATGGTACATGAAAGACAGCAAAGCTCGATGGTGATTAAGGCTGTGAAATGGCCCATGCCCCATACGCCATGTCCATACCCCATGGCCCATACGCCAAGTCCATACCCCATGCATGCCCCATGCCCCATACGCCATGTCCATACCCCATGCATGCCCCATGCCCATACCCGATGCCCCACACCCCCATGCCCCATGGCTGCTCTGTGCGACATGACTCTTTCCCCATGCCCATCTGCAAACAACGGCACCCCTCCCCATCCCTCCCCACGCCTTTAACTCACGCCAGTATCAGCTCCACCACAACGCTGTCATTCGTCGGCGCGAGACTCCTCTGTGCGAACGCGCCCTGAGTCGCAATCACCGCGCCCGTTGCCTTGGACACAACCCTTCTTGCAAAGAGCAGATTGAAGCGCACGCCCGAGTCGCGGTACTGCCCCACGTAGCGCGCCGCCCACTCTAATAGGTACTCCATGGCGGGGGCGCCATTGATGGTCATCACCTGCGCGCCCTCGTAGCGGTAGTAGTCGAACTGGTGGAGCACCAGCGCTGCCACGTCTAACCCTTCTAGGAGCACTGCGGGAAGGGACGGGGCAATGGGCAAGGCGGTGAGGGGGAGGGAGCGAGAGGGTGTTTCTTGTGACCTGCGCGCCCTCGTAGCGGTAGTAGTCACCCTGGTGGAGGACTAGGGCCGCCACGTCTAGGCGTTCTAGCAGCACTGGGGAAGGTGGGGCGAAGGGGGATGGGGGGTTGGCCGGGGGGGGTGGTGGTGGAAGGGGTTTCGGGAGAAATGGGCGGAAAGGTGGGAAAAGTGGGGAATGGAAACGATGGCGTGGAATGGGCATAGGGGAAAATCGTGCGGAGGCCGCCACTCACGCGAGGACGGCGCGACGCGGATGATCTGGTTACCGTCCTCGACGACGGCGACGAGCGGCAGCGGGAGGTAATAGGACGCGGTTCGGTGGAAGCACGAGGAGCTGAACATCGTGTGGCCGTCGTTAAGACTCATTAGTGCGCGGTAGATTAATGTCTGGAACCGCATCAGGCTCTTAATCCCCTTCCCCGCTAACGCCTTCTCTCGAATCGCGCGCAGGTAGGATACTATATCGACGTCGCTCGGGAGACGCTCATCGGGTGAGTTAATCGCGATGTGTCTGTAAACGTAGAAGTTCGCTAGACCGTTGATGATTGAGTCTATAACGGGGATATCGCGCGACGCTTGGAAGCGGAAGGAGCGGAGGCAGTGCTTTGCTTGTGACGGCGTCGCGAAGCCCACGCCGACAGTCCCGGGCACGACGCGCGCGGTCGCCGCCAGCTGCTCCGCCAGCAGTGCGCATTGGTCGCCTTGCAGGCGCGCCTTTGCGGAGATTTGCCGGGGGGCGGAAGAGAAGACGGCGGAGAGGAAGAGGGGGAGGAGGAGGGAATGGAGGGATCGGCGGAGGCGGAATCGCCGCCGGGCGCCGGCAACGAGATGTTGCCGCGGAAGAGACGACTTGCGTTGACTCGGCGCGCAGTGGGACCCAGCCGCTGCCACGTCAGCCATGCGAACGAGTGGTTCAGGTCAGCGATTACTGTCTGAAGGTGCTGCGACAAGCGAAGAGTAACTACGTAACTAATCTTGAGGCTCTTAATCTTTGAGAGACCCTTGCACGCGAAATTCGACGACAGCATAGAAACGAGCGTAACGAGGCGAAGCTCTCGAAACGGCCCATTGTGCGACGAGTGTGATGAGTAACGACTGCGACCCGAGTCAAGCTAGCGCCCTCCAAATCACCATCCCGGATGGCAGCGCTTGTCGAAAAAGCCTATCACTCACGGCAGCCATGGCGCGTGCTGCACACGCGCCTACCAGAGGCTGCCTTACTCGCATCGCATCGCATGCTTCGAGGCTGAGGCTGGCACTGCTAGATACTGCGTAAGCGGGTCGGCGTATTAACGGCCACGTGGAATCGCGGAGCAACAAACAATATCCGATTAAACACAGACCGCACGTCTGCTCCAAAGACTAGGAACCTGGTGCAATGCACCTTGTGCGTGTGATCACTGCGAGGGTTCGTCGTTGCGCGGCGGCTGGGGGGAGGGTGGCGCGAATTAGGTGGGTGGTATGGGGCGGGCCGGGCGGACGAGAGGTGCTAATTTAGCTCGTCGCTGCGGGGGGAGAATCAGCACCTTCCCTGCGTGGGGGAGAAGTTCGTCCCCCGATTCGCGAGCGCGGGGGCGCTAGGAGTGCCATATGGCCAATAAGGATGCAGAACCAGCCCCACCAAGACCTGCCCTGGGCGCTTGGGAGCTGTGGTGCTTGTAGCGATCGCGCTCCGGTGTGTGCGGTGCAGAGCTAAGTGCTACAGTGCGAGAAAATGTACACTGCGAAAACGACTAATAACCACCATCTACAGCTGAGTGGAAACATGAAATATAGAATTCTTAGGTTTTAACGATCTACTTGTCAGCAGCAGTGGCAGGAGGACCCTTCCAGCGAAAGTTGTCCGCGTATGATTTGGGCTGCATGGAGTGGAGGGACAATAAAAACCAATTTCATAAGTATGCAAGCTAGATGTGGCTCAAGAGCGCACTGGATCTTGAACAGCACAAGAAATAGCAAGCTTGAGAAAATCTGCGTGCCATGTTTCGTGGGTGCAGGAAATTGAACAGAGGGTCTAAAGGTCTAGAAGAGCAGAGGGGAAGTAGGGTGTAAACTATGTGCAGTTTTACCTTCTTGATTGGCTTCTGCGGCTCGAGGACCTGAAAACACAGAGGGGGCAAAAGGGAAAAAGAAAAAAAATGTTATCCCAGGCAGAGACTTGTCAGCCATGCCGCACAACATGTACATTGACACAGGGATTGAAACGAGAAACAAGCATGATGAAGCGATGGGGGCAGTTGACATTTACACAACCTGCTGCTGAACCACCTTCATGCTACCCCCGGCACCATTTTGCCGAATACCTGATGGTGCTGCCACATACCTGATGGTGCTGCCACGTACCTGCCACGGATGGTGCCACATACCTGGTACCAGTAAATGCCTCAGCCCCACGTTCAAGAAGTTAGCAGTGCCACATGCCGGCTACTTCTCAATACCTGCTACTTTTCACTACCTGGTAGTGCCAGCCATGGCGTTCAACAAAGTCAACGGCGTCCTGCTTGGAGTGGAAGGAGAGGGCATGATCTGCCAGATACCCAGTGGTACTGTTAGATACCCAGTGGTACTGTTAGATACCCAGTGGTACTGTTAGATACTTAGTGGTACTGTTACATTCCCAGTGGTACTGTTAGATACCCAATGGTACTGTTAGATACCCAGTGGTACTGCCAGAAACCCAGTGGTACTGCCAGAAACCCAGTGGTACTGCCAGATACCCAGTGGTACTGCCAGATACCCAGTGGTACTGCCAGATGCCCAGTGGTACTGCTAGATACTCAGTGGTACTGCCATCCACGTACCTGGTAGTGCCAGCCGTGGCGTTCAACAAAGTCAACGGCGTCCTGCTTGGAGTGGAAGGAGAGGGCTGAGTCCGCCACACATGCCATGGGGTCCGCTGTTGATGTCCACCCCATCAGGGGGTTCTCCCACCTGCATGCACACATGCACAATACAGCACACAGAGACGCAATCAAGGGACACAGTGCACATGGCGACACGAACACAGATGTGCACGCAAACATATGGTAAGCTACGTGCTACCCCAAGTGGGTATGCACATCAAATCATTTCCACAACAACAAAAGCCTGAACGGAATCTCACTTCTGCGTGGTATCGAATCTAATCTTCCACTGTCCATGCCGCCCCATGCCCTGCTGCGACGCGGCTCGCGCGGGACTGTACACAACCACCTGCAAAAAAATACCCCGCCACGTCAGCAGCGCAGCCGCGGAAGCGCGGAAACCAAAGGGTGATGGAAGGAGAAGGTCGGGCGGGATGAGAGGGAGAGGGAGAAGAAAAGGCAGGGAGAGGCAACGGGGACGACGTTGGCGCTGGATGGACGGTGCGATCCGCGCGCGAGGCAGCTGTTCCGAGCGGACGAAGCGGGTGGATATAAGCACAACGCGAACTAGCTCCGTGACTACCTATTCCGAACCCCCGCGATTAGGGCCGCGATCTCCGAAGCCGCACCTTCCGCTGGAGTTGCTCCTTGGGAATGCCGGACACCTCTGCCGCTTCGGCCTTCCCCACTGCGGAGCGCTGCGCGGAGGTCGTCAGCGCGCGGAGCTGCGGGAGCGCCGTGCGCGCGAGCGAGAAGCCGCGGCGGTTAAGCGCGGCGGCCATGGCGGCGGCAAGAGCGGTGGATGCGGACAGTGCAGCGAGTCGCGGTGTGAGCGGGAAAATGAAACGGCTAGCGACGGATGCGGTGACACTCGCTGCGAGACGGAGGCTGATATTTGAGTGATGCTCGTCGTTTGGCTTGTGAAAAGCAGGTCGCAACTGCATGACTTCGGTGATTGTCGCTGAACTCAATAAGAACCTCCCCGAGATTAGAGTGCGTTATCTGATCAATACTGCCTAGTTAGCATGGTAATAAGGCAAGAAAGTACCACCTACGCAAGGTCAATTCTACCACAACAAAATTCCTTCCTAACAGCAAATCCTAATGTCCTAGCACATTTACAAGACCACACACCTGGTGCGCTTATCAAGTCAACCTGACTCCTACATCAGCTAGTTGATCATACCAGTGTTATGCCATAGCCCCCCTTTCCCATATGAGAGACACAACATACTATTTGTCGTGCAAAAGCATGGTTGCAGCTGCTAACACCTACCTACACTTCCCTCACTTCCAGCCATTTATTCCATGAATCGCCGCACCACACCCATCACAACAGCGTTACGAAATGGTACAGCACCCACCCTTCGCCGCTTCATTCGACGGTGCTGCCACCGCTCCCGCTGCTCCTGCTTTCTTCCCCGCCGACGCCGCCTCGCTCGCCCCAGCCCCAACAGCCGCCTCCTTGGCCTTCCTAGCAGCTTCCTCTTCCGCCTGCTGCTTCTTCTTCTCCTCCTCAGCCTTCGCCCTCGCCTCCTTCTCAGCCTTCTCCTTCTCCTCCTTCTCCAGCCGCTCCTTCTCCTTCTGTGCCTCCTGCTTCGCCTCCCACTCAACCACCGCATCGGCCGCCGCCTCGCAAATATCCATCAGCGCCGGAATCACCTCCTCCGTCAGATCCGGCCGATCTCGGCGGTCCATTTCCGCGCACCACAGCCCCAGGTTCGCGAGATCAAGTGCCAGGTTCGGCGGCCATTCACCAGCCCTGGGATCCAGCACCACTGTCAACTCCTCCTTCTCCACCATAGCATCGATCCTCTTCAGGTTCGGCACCTCCCCAACCAGCATCTGCAGCAGCACCACTCCAAACGAATACACGTCCGATTTCGGCCCAAGATACCCCCTCCTGGCGCACAGATACTCAGGATCGACATAATGCTCGGTCCCGACAATGACTGATTTCCGCACGACGTGGGAGTGGCCGGGAGCGAGGTCGCCCATGAGGCGAGCGAGCCCCACGTCGCCGAGCTTGGCGGTGAAGTGGTCGTCCAGCAGCACATTGGCTGGCTTCACATCGCGGTGCACGATGGGCGGCTTGCGCGTGTGCAGGTGCTGCAGGCCTGCTGCGATCTGGTGGTGTGGGGAGGTGCGAAGAAGGGGGAATCGGGAGGGGAGAGAGAAAGAAGGGTCAGAGGGAGCAGGGTATATTGGCTGGCTTCACATCGCGGTGCACGATGGGCGGCTTGCGCGTGTGGAGATGCTGCAGCCCTGCTGCTATCTGGATACGGTTTAGGGGGCAGGGCGAAAAAGGGAGAAGAAGGATGCAGCAATGATCCAGTCACTGCACTGCAGCAGTGGCACTCACCTGATGCAAGCCCTCCCTCTCAACCTAAATCCCAGCCCTCCACCCTTTCAGCTCACCTCCATGGCGATGCGGCAGCGTTCAGGCCACTGCAGCGGCGGCACGCCTCCGATGCAGAGCAGGCGGTCCTTGAGAGACCCGTTGGCCATGAACTCATAGACCAGGGAGCAGTCCTCCCTGCAGTACCCCACCGCATAGCACCGCACTGCACCACACCCCACCCCCTTTATCTCACCTCCATGGCGATGCGGCAGCGCTCAGGCCACTGGAGGGGAGGCACCCCCCCAATACACAGCAGGCGGTCCTCAAGAGACCCGTTGGCCATGAACTCGTAGACCAGCGAGCGGTCCTCCCTGCAGTACCCCACCAGGCGCACCGCATTCGGGTGGTCTATGCGCTTCTGCACCTCCATCTGCGCTCCGTGCGTTGGGGAGGAAGGGGAAGGGGTGGAATGGGGTGGAATACTACCGGTGCTTAGCAGGTCAACTAGGTTTGGGTGGTTTATGCGCTTCTGCACTTCCATCTGTCCTCCGTGCGTTAAGAGGGGTCGGGGAGGGAAAACGGAGGAATGGGGTAAGTGGGGGACAACAGTTTCAAAGAAAATCGCCACACCTCAACCCCACCCATCAACAACCCACCCACACCCCACCGCAACGCACCTCCCGGTCGATCTCATCGAGAGCAGCCTTCACGTCGGGGTTCTTGAGCTGCTTCACAGCGACCGTCTGCCCGTCAATCATGCCCTTATACACCACGCCGTAGCTGCCCTCGCCGCACACGTGGTTGGGCCAGAAGTGCTCGATGGCGGCCTGCAGCTCCTCCAGCGTGAACTCTTTGAACGGCTGCCTCCGCGCGCCCTCTGCGGGCTCCACCACTTGGAGAGGGCGTGTCAGCGGATTCTTGTCCGAGGGCACTTTACGGCCGGAGGAGCCCTCCCTCTCCGCCATCTTCTTCTCAAGCCGGGCCTGTGATGAGGGAGTGGGGAGAGGAAGGAAGAGGAAGAGGGAGAAAGGCACTCAGTACAAGTGGGATAATTCAACCACCTGCAGCGGCCGCGTGAGCGGGTTCTTGTCCGACGGCACCTTGCGGCCTGATGAGCCCTCCCTCTCCGCCATCTTCTTTTCCAGCCGGGCCTGGTGTGCGGGAATGGGGGGGAGAGGGGGCAAGACGAAGGGAGAGGGGGCAAGAGGAAGGGAGAGGGGGCAAGAGGGAGCAAGGGCACAGGATGTGAGTGGGAGGGTTCCACCACCTGCAGCGGCCTCGTCAGCGGGTTCTTGTCCGACGGGACTTTGCGCCCAGATGGTCCCTCCCTCTCCGCCATCTTCTTTTCAAGGCGCCCCTGGTGTGAGGGAATGGGTTAAGGGGATAGGGAAGGGGTAAGGTGAGCGAAGAGATGAAATGATTGGAGAGGAGAGGGAAGGAGAGGAGGGAACAGTGGCAACATTGCTCCACATTCTCTCATGCAATCTAAGGCCCAGCCCTTGGGCTGGCAATGGCATGGTTCAGCAGAGGGATTGGTTATAGAACGTATCAGGTAAGGCGTCCCACATTTTCCCCCGTGTGAGTGTGTTTTGTGTCTCTTTCACAATCTAGAACAAGACCAGAAGGCCGTGCAACCGCCCTTAGCGCCAGCAGAGGGCTTCTTCTTCCTCGGCCGGTCCTTGGGCGGCACTCCACCTCCCACCGCCGCTCCTGTATTTTGAGTCAACTCAAAATGCACCTGACAACACTCTAACACAAGAAGGTGCTGCTACCAACCTTAGCACCAGCCGATGGCTTCTTCTTCCTCGGCCGGTCCTTGGGCGGCACTCCCCCTCCCGCCGCCCCCCCTGCCGTTGCCGCCCCTCCTCCTGCTGCTGCCCCACCTGCTGCCGCGCCCCCAGACCCACCCCCACCGCCTGCCCCAGCAGCAGCCTTGGCCTTAGCAGCATATGCTCGCCTAGCCAGCTCCAGAGCAGACAGCCCCTCCTCGTTCTTCCCCGCACCCTCCCCTCCCCCCTCCACCGCCCCGCCCTCCGCCTTCCCAGCCCCTTCCCCCTCTGCTCCCCCCTCTGCTGCGGCCTCCTTGCCTCCCGCTTCCCCTTCCCCTTCCCCTTCCCCCTCCCCGTCCGCTGCCCCGCTGCCCCCCTGTGCGTCTCCGTCCTCCTGCACGCCGCTCCCCCCCTCCTGGATGTCTGGCAGCTTCTTGTTGAGGGCTGTCCCGTGGAACACTCGCGCTGGGGGAGGGACGGGCTGGGAGGGCGGAAAGAGGAAACGCAGGGAAGTGGGGCATGGGATGTCAGAAGGTAAGGGGCGCGAGGGAGCACAAGAGATAGGAAAACAGATCCCTTCCTGGATGTCTGGCAGCTTCTTGTTGAGCGCTGTGCCGTGGAACACGCGTGCTGGGGGAGGGACGGGCTGGGATGGGTTGGAAACGTGGGATAAGGAGGAGAGGACGAGTTGGGAGAGATAGGGGAAACGGGGATGGGGGTAAAGCGTAAGGGCAGCAAGGGGGACGGGCTGCATGGGGGAGCACGTGCGGAGCATGTGAGGAGAGAGCGGATGAATGCAGGGAACAACTCATCTTAACGGGAAAGAGTGGGTGAATGGCGAGAATGACTCACCTTAGCGGGCGCCTGCTCCTTGCTCTGCACGGTTTTCAGCTTCTTGCCACTCTGCACCACATAGAGCGACGCGCCGGGCGGCAACACCTCCTCCCTCGCGCACACGTTGATGGTCTTCCACCTGCCATGCCGTGGAGAATGAGGGGGAAAAGGGAGGGGAGGGGCGTGACGCAGGGTTGTTAGGATGGAGGTGCATGGTTGGGGGTTGTTAGGGTGTGGCTCGCGTGGTGCCATGAGGACATGCGGGGGGGAGGGGGAAGAGGAGGAGAGGGGCGGGAAAGCCAATGGCCTGTTGACGGGATGGCGTGGCGTGGCACAAGACAGCACACGTCATGCAACGGGAATGAGATGGCACCACTCTGGCTCTGTTCAACTGAGTGCAACGGAGAACTCACTCGCCGATGGGCTTGTTGGGAATGCTAGCCAGCACGATGTGCGTCGCCTCCAGCTTCTGCGCCGCCTCAAGAATGGCGCCGCCCTTGTCCTCGTTCTTTATCACGTGCACCGTGGACGGCAACTGGGGGAATGGGAGGGTGGGGAGGGTGCATAAGAGCGGGGAGAACGATCAGTGAAGGTTATGGGTTGAGAGAGGGGGCAAAGAACGGGGTCCCACGAGGATGGCGCGGCCCTTATCCCCGTTCTTAATCACGTGCACCGTGGACGGCAGCTGGGAATGGGGGGGGAGGGGGGAGGAAAGAGTGGCGAGAGGTCAGAAAGAGAGGGGTCACACGAGGATGGCCCCGCTATTGCCCTCGTTCTTGGTCACGTGCACCGTGGACGGCAGCTGGAGGGCTGGGGCGGGAGTGGTGGAGAGAGAGAGAGAGTTGAGCGAGGGCTGGCGGGGTGGGAGAGAGAAGCAAGGGGTTGCACCTCATGAGAATGTGGGGTGAGAGAGCGGAGAAAGAAAGGGGTCGCGTGAGTATGGAGCTGGCGTGGACCTAGTTCTTTATCGCGTCCAACAAGGTGTGCAGGAGGGTGGGAAGAGAAGAAAACGGGGGAAGCAAGAACGCGGTTGCAGGGGGGTGGAAACGAAGATAAGAGAAGGGTGGGAGAGAATACGGCCCCGTCTAGCACCATTTCGCATCCACCGCCACGCCTCATGTCATTCTACCCCCCAGACTCACATTTCAAGCCACTCGTCCGCACGTCTCACATCACTCACCCCCACATCAGTAAAGCGACTTACCCCGGCGTCGTCGCTGACGTCTTGCAGGCTCTCGAGGTACGGCAGAACGCGGTCGCATATGTGCACCGCCACGCTCGGGCTGTCCGCCTCGCCTAGGCGCACCAGCTTGCCCGCTGGAGAGGGAGAGAAAAACGGGGGAATCGGGGGAGGGACGGGGAAGGAAAGGGGTTAGCTGGCAGCACGTGGTCGCATTTGTGCGCCGCCACGCGCGGGCTGTCCGCCTCGCTCAGGCGCACTAACTTGCCCGCTGGATAGGGGAAGCAAGGGCGAAGTGGGGAAAGGAAGAACGGGGAAGGAAGGGGGTTTGATGGCAGCACGCGGTCGCATGCCACGGTCCGCTTGGGGAAGGAGAGTTTTTTTTTTTCTGGTTTGGAGGAGTTACGGCGGGAGGAGGAAGGGGCAGATAGAAAATGAATAGCCAGCGAGAGAAGAGGGAGACACGGAAGTCCTGCGAGGGAGGTTAGCACGGAAAGGATTGGAGGTGATGCGACAGGGCGCAAGCGCGTTGCGACCAGTCGCGAGCGTTTTGCGAGAGTGCCCGACTGTTTTACGATAGGGTGCGAACGTATTACAACAGGGTGCGAGGGTGTTTACGATAGGGTGCGCGTAAGGCGTAAGCGACAGAACGAGAGAGAGACATAACAAAATAAACGAGGAGTTTCTGTAGGAGAAAAGTGCAGATTGTGGTGCAATCGTTCTGCGACTTGATTTTCGAGCGTACCTGGCGCATCGAAGCTCTTGATTGACGTACATTGCAAACAGAGACCCTGAATAATTTCTTGCCGACAATATCTTGGCCTTAATTTCGATCGCTCTTAAACACCCAGTTGATAACAGCTCCTTGATTATGAGGTCCTCGCTGCAGCAGCGCACCTGTATTGCGAAGTTCCGTCACAATATGCGTGAGGAGCAGACACACGCTGGTATCCTTGCGCTTTCCGAACTCCTTAATCGTCCAGTCTAGGGCTTCTCGGCAGTGCTGGTCGTCCCGCATCGCCACCAGCACTTTAATATCCGCAGTGACGTCCATGGCACCTTCAGATTAATATACCCTAAAATGATTTTAATTACTACTACTGAATGTTACTGAAGTGAGTTGCGGGCCTATCTAGAGTCGCTACAATGTGTTCGCACGGGATGGCTACCAACAAGTTACAAGCTCGCCGAGAGGCTTCACTTTTCTCTTATAGGACCGAGTTTTAACATTTCCACGAAAGCTTTGACCTGCGACTAGGGCAGTTGGTCTGTAAGACGGGAAAACGGCTATGTGCCTCAAGACCAGAAGCTAGAAAAAAGACGGAAGACAAAGCGAGCAGGAACAAAGTCCCAAGCAACGAAGTCCAAGGGACGAAAGAAACAAGGGGGCCCCAAGGGACGCAGATAGCAACAAAGTTCTAGGCGAGGTGAAGGGGACGACAACAAAGCCCGACGAAATCAGGCGAGGAAGGACGACCCAATCCCGAGGGTAGACGGGACGGGATGAACCAAGTCAAAGGGCCGGGGAAGTGAAGGGAGCAAGCGCTCTGCCAGCCAAACAAAACCCAAGGGACAACCGCCGTCGCTGGCTTGCGCGTGCCGCGGCTTGAGCTGTCGTGGCGGGAAGGAGAGTGCTGCTGTGGCAGGTGCTGCTTGAAAGCGAGGGAATCTAGGTGAAGCTTCCATTCGATTGAATCACGTCAGGTTGGGGATTCCGAAGCTGTGCCTTGCCTCAGCCTAGCAAACCGAATTCCCAGAACATGTGCTCCACTGGAGCTAAATGAAAAAGATGCAGTATATATGCTCATCAAACCTCACCATATCTGGTCTGCCGAGCCGACTCACCTCACCTGTCAAAAATTCCATTTCATTGCATTTCAGCAATTCCTAGACAATTTCCCTTGCTTTCTCTAAAAAAAATCTGGAAGCGCAAAAAGCACCATAATTATCAGTATCCAATAATTCACTCATCTTCTACCGCCTGTGCTTGTCCTCTTCATCTTCTCGCCGCCCGGCTCTTGCTCCACCGGGGCCTGTGGTTGCGGCTGTGGCTGGCCCCCTGCTAACTTCTTCATAATTCTCTCCCTCTGCTCAGCCTGTTGCTGTGGCGTTGGAGGCTGCCTCTTTTCTGCTCTCGAGCTCTGCTGCTGCTGCTGATCCTTGCCTGGTTTACGCGCAGAGCCACTGGTGCTCCCACCTGCCCCACCGCCCCCAACAGCGCTGCTGGCATTGCTCATAGTCGACCCAGAATACCTATGCCCCTGCCGATCCCCACCCCCGCTCACACCTCCGCCCCTCGCCCCCCCTCCCGCCCCCTCCCTCTCCTAACCCTTGCCTCCTCATCCTCTCACTCAGCCGACTCTCATCAGGTGACGGCGCCCGGACCTCTCTCCCTCCGTCATACTCCCCTCCGCCACCCGGCCTCCTGCCTCCCGGCCCGCCTCTCTGCCTCATTTCAGGTACATCCTCAGACAGCAATCGCATGCCTCGATGCGACCGTGCCCCTGGCCCCAGCAGCATCTTACTTGACGGGGTTGGCGGGCCATTAACACCGCCCGTGCTCATGCTGCTGCCCCACATTGGCGGCTGCCCGGGAGGAAAATTTCCAGGCAGGTTAGGGTTTGAGGCGGAGGGCGGCGGCATGGAGTGGGGAGGAGCGGGGCCGGACGGGGGCCCTTTGCGCTGCACCTGCAGGCCCAGATCTTCAAAGACAAAGGCTGCGCTCCGTGTGACTGCTGGCTTGCCGGGGGGGGAGAGGACGGACCTGCAGTGGAGGGAGGGAAAAAGAGAAACATATATTTGAGTCACCTTGGCGCCCCTCAAACACAAAGGCTGAGCTGCGCTTCGTGTGGCTGCCGGCTAGCTGGGAGGGAGAGGACGGACCTGCAGTGGAGGGAGGGGCGGAGAGATAAAGGCTTTTGAGTCGCCTCAAAGGCTCTTTCCAAGGCTAAGGCTGAGCTCCGCGTGACTGCCAGCTTGCCGGGAGCGAGAGGGCGGACATGCAGTGGTGTGGGGGGACGAGAGAAAGAATTCGGAGCCTCCTCCAAGGCCCTCTAAGATATAGGCTGCGCTCCGTGCGACTGCTGGCTTGCCGCGAGGGAGAGGACGGACCTTTAGTGGAGGGAGAAGAGGGGAAAAACCGGGGAGAGGAATTTGAGGTGGTATGGAAGTGCAGGACGGAGGGGAGAGGCGGTGATAGGGCGGGGCCGGAGGGGGGGCTTTTGCGTTGCACCTGCAGGCCCAGGTCTTGGAAAAACAAAGGCTGATCTCAGTGTGACTGCTGGCTTGTCGGGAGGGAGAAGGCGGACCTGCAGTCAAGAGAAAGAGGGAAAGAGCAGGGAAAGGCTTTCGGGTGCTGCGGAAGTGCAGAATGGAATGGGGAGGGGGCAAGGGGTGGGAGGCGTGGTTGAGTGACAGGAGGGGAGGATGGGGTAAGGGAACGGCGAGCAGTGGAAGCAGCACGCACACACATGACTGTGCTCCTGCTCGTGAGGTGTTTCGAGGCGCCTCAAAAGTGAATATGCACCCACATGCTCCTGCTCATGTGCTTTCGAGGCGCCTCAAAAGAGACTATGCACCCACCTGATCCAGTTCCTGCTCGCGTGCGTCATAAGCCGCCCGCAACCGCTCCAGCTGCCTTTTGATTCGACTTTGACTCACCTGGACTCAAATGTCGACTCAAAGGCAGCGCCTTCAGAGTGACCATGCACCCACCTGATCCAGTTCCTGCTCGCGTGCGTCATCAGCTGCCAGTGATCGCTCCAGCTTCACTCCTCCCTGCTCTCCGCCGGCCATGTCTCCCCCGCCTCCCCAACCCGGCCTCCCCCAATTGCCTCCCCCTCCACCTTGCTGCCCCTGCCATCCGCCCTGCATTCCCCCTTGCATCCCCCCCTGCATTCCGCCCTGCATCCCCCCTTGCATTCCGCCCATGTCCTGCTGCCCGCCCCAGCTCCCCCTGCCCCCGTACAAATCGTCGTCAACCGCCCCCACCGCGCCCCCAGGCCCCATCCCCCGCCCTGGGGCGGCATTCCCCCCATCTGCGGCCCCCACATCCCTCCGCCGCCCCCATTCCCTCCGCCATAGAGATCATCCGCCATGCCCCCCATCTGCGCCTGCTGGGGGTACCCACGAGCGGGTTGGAAGCCAGGGTAATTAGGCCCGAAACCTGGGGGCATCGCGTTCGAGTACCCCTGAGGGGGGGGGGCATCATGCCAGGAGGACCCCCAAAACCGACAGGCATAGATGCCCCCTGGTTGGGGTTGTTAACATGCATCGGCATGCCCTGCTGCTGCATTCCCCATCCCCCCCCCCCATCGGCCCCCCAGGCATCCCCATTTGCCCCTGCTGGTAACCACCCCCAGCGTGCGACCAATTAGCACCGCTCTCCTCTTCCTCCTCCTCACCCTCCTCATCCTCCCCCTCCTCTTCCTCCTCCTCCCCCTCTTCCTCCTCATCTTCTTCCTCCTCTTCTTCCTCATCCTCTTCCTCCTCCTCCTCTTCTTCATCATCTCCTCCTCTTCCTCCTCCTCCTCCTCATAATCCTGCCCATCCTCAAGCTCCTCTTCATCCTCGTATTCCTCCCCTTCCACCTCCCCCCACTCCCCCTCCTGCTCATACTCCCACTCGCCGCCGCTCCCCGCGTTCCCCGCGCCCCCCGCCCATTGGTGACCATACCCTCCGCCGCCTGCCATATCCATGCCCATCGCATTCTGATTCGCATCATATCCGTACTGCGCGCCGATTGGCTGCCCGGCCATGCCCATACCTGGGCCGCCCATGCCCATGCCTTGGTTCCCCGTCCCCATACCTCCTTGCATCTGCATCCCATCGGCGGTCCTCCGACAGGCATTCCCCCTCCCCCATCATCATCCCCTGCCCCTCATCCCATCCCCTGTCCGCCCATGCCCCCCCTGTCCGCTCATGCTCGCTCCTTGCGTGCCCATCCCTCCGCCACTCCCGCCCCACTGCTGCTGACCCCCTTGCTGCGCCATGTCCCGTGGACCCCCCGCCGGTTGCCCCGGCCCGGCCACGTTTCCCCGCATCTCCCCCGATCCCTTTGCCGTCCTTCCGCCGGCCTCTCCGCTGCCGCCTGCCCGCGTCCAGCGCCAGCGCGAGGGGGCCCGGGGCCCGCCGTCGCCGGCACCGCTGCCGGCAGGCGGAGGTGGCCGCATCCGCCTCTCCCCCATCCCTGGCGCATCCGCGCCCGCCGGCCGCGGTCTCTGCGCAGAAGGGCCAGGTCTTACGCCTGCAGCTTTGGGTTTGGCACCCGCGACGGGCGGAGTAGCGCGCTTCGCACCAGGGGCTGGGCGCGCTTTCGCCGACTTCACCTCACCCGACGCCGCTGTGATCCTCCCCGCCTTCCCCGCCTTCCCCGCTTCGCCCTTTTTCTTCTTAGGTGCAATCTGAAGCGGCAGATCCTTGGAAAGCGGTTTTCTCGACCCCTGCGATAGCAGACTGCTTGCTGCGCCAGTCAGCACCTTGGATAAGAAAAATCCAC